GAGAGGAGAGGGGAAGGGACGGGAGGGGCGGGGCCAAAGGAAGGCGGACGCCCCGCCCCTTCCCGCGCGTGCGCCGCCGCCCCGGCCGCGCCTTAAAGGGGACGCGCGGGGCGGCGTGCACACGCGTGTGCGTGCACGCGCGCGTGGACGCGCGCGGATAGGCGTGCGAGCGCAGCGAGCTGCGTGTGCCTGAATGCGCGTGTGCCCGTGGAAGAAGGCGCACCTGGAGCGAGCGCAGCTGCGTGCACGCGCGGGGGTAGAACGTGCGTGCACAAGGGGGTAGGCGTGCACAGGTTGGTGCACGAACACGAATGCCTGCGCGCGTTGGTACGCATACGTGCACGCGGAGGGGTACACGCGTGTACGTGTGACTCCGGGGACAGACATGCCTGCCCACACGCGGAGCTACGCCTACGTGGGGGCACGCTCACGGAGCCACACGTGTGAACGCGCGGCGAGCTGGGCCTGTGCAGACCCGCGGAGGTGTGCACACGTGCATGCGCTCATGTTAACACGTGCCTCCATGCATATGCACGTGCTGAAATGTATGAACACGCGCAGTTGTACACATAAATGTACGTACGTGGGCACACACAGAGGTGCAGGTACGTGCAAATGTACTTCTGGATAGGGACACGCACGGAGACACACACGCACACATAGAGCTATAACTGCACGCGTGGAGGAATATATATGTGCACACAGAAGTATGCCGCACCCGTGCACACTCACACGTGCATGTGAACATGCCGGAGGCGATGGCTCGTGGCCGCGGGGTGCAGCCCCGTACCCCGCTTCCACATCCCCAACCCAGCCTGGATGGTGCTGTGGGCGCCGCCCCGGCTCTCCCCAATGCCAACAGGAGCAAACACCAGCGTCCGGAGCGTGGTTGCGGGTCCCTGCCAGCCTGCTCAGCGCCCCGGCCCTCCTCATTAACCAGAGCACTAATGAGTTCCCCTCGTCAGTGCTCCCAGCTGCCTGGACTTCTGCCTCCCCACGGGGTTTTGTGCCCACACTGGGCGCGTGCCTACGGGGCTTTAGCCATGCCCGCTCTCCTGGTCTTCCACCCGATCTACCCCAGGGCTGCCGGTTTTACGGGATCCCAACGCCCGCAGCCCAGGATGCGGCCCCAAAGCCCAGGGCTGCTCAGCACCCTGCATGGCCCGGCTGCCTTTGCCCGAGCCCCAAGGTTGCAGGTCACTGCCCCCCCCCCAGGTGCCCCATGGCAGCCCCTTCTGCTGCAGCTCGCCTGGGAGCCACGGCCGCTCCTTCCCCTCCGGCCGGCCGGGCTCCAACTGCGCTTTGGCAAGCCCAGGGTACCCACCGCTGTACCCCTTGCCCTGACTGTTGCAACAGCCCCGTGGGCCCATCGCCCTTCCCAGCTCCCCAACCCGGGGCCAAATTCAGCCCCGGGAGGTGCAGGGGAGATGTCCCAGAGATGCAAAGTGCCCAGGAGGGAGCTTACTGGGGGGCACTGGGAGGGAGCTTGCTGGGGGCACTGGGAG